AATTAAGTACAGGTAAATATTTTTATATTTATATACATTCTTGAAATAATAAATTTATCCGTTATTGGTATTGTTTAACTTGAATTAGGTTATACTGATATGATTAAATGGAATTATAGAATCAGTTTTTAATTTCAGCTAAGGAAAGACAATACCAAATAAGTGATAATCATATTGTACACATTTAAGATGTTTAATTTTAAAAATATGCTATTTTTCAGATGAGACATTTCGAGAGAAATACTGCGAAGTATTCTTCTCATCAAACAATGTCGAAGGCACAGGTGAGACATGTTTTATTATTCATTTAAAGCATTCTAGAGACAACTATGATAAAATTGTAATACCGATGTAAATATATAAAAACTGTAAATAAAATCTCTTTCGTATATATATATATATTTACTGAAATCTCAAAATTTAAAATTTCCACCACAGGTTCAACTATTTCTGAAACTGTACCTGATCAAATTACTGTACCAAGGAAGTGTGGGAACAAGTTAGATTCTGTAAGTAGTATATTTTATGAGTTTAAAAATTATAGCTTACATTATGAAGCAGTTATTTCTAAGAAAACAAGATCTGTTATTTTGAAATAAAACCCTTCATTTTATTAATTTATACATTTAACATATTTATGATAAAATACTTTAAGTTTGAATATTTTTGTGAATAGTCTTTATAGATTCTTTAATTAAGTTTTCAGAAACTTACTTTATAGTTATCAATTATTTAATGAAAATGTAATATTTTATAGGAAACTACATGGACCACTTACTCTATAAAAAAACTTATAGAGCTTCGCAAAGAAATGGATCTGCAGTTCCAAAGTCCAAACTGCAAAAAAATAAAATTATGGGGCCGTATAAGTGAAAATCTCAAAAAGGAAGGCATCAATATAACAGCAGTAGAGGTGGATAGGAAGTGGAGAAATTTAATGCTAACATACAGGAGGAGGAAAGACCAGATGAAACGATCTGGAGGTGGGCAAGTTCCCTTTTGGGAATTTCAGGACGATCTAGATGCTTTTCTTGCTTCAAAAGCAAGTGTTTCTCCTCCTCCTGATACGTTATTATCATCATTATCCTCAGCAACTGAGGAAAATGTTGAGGAAAATGTTGAAGAAAATGATGCCTCTACTTCAGACAATCTCCTCGAGAAAGAACAAGCACCGCCTACCAAAAAAAGAAGAAAAGTCTGTTCCAAAGATGAGCCTCCCAAATGGCTTAAAGAATATATCAAAAAACAAGAGGAGGTGGATGAACAACGGTGGAAAAAACTGGAAGAAATAGAACTACAAAAATTGAACATTCTAAAAAATATTTTAAATATTGTTCAAAAAAGTAAAAAAGAATAAATTTAAATGTTTATAATCAAATGTGCTTGTCTCCTAAATTTTAATTAAAAACTGGTTTTATATATCGGACTCAATTATAATGATAATCATTTCAACTTTACATAGGCAGGGTTAATGTAATTCTAGTTCTTTTGCTAATTTCTCAACTATTCTCTAATCCCATCATATCCTGACTAAAAACAAATTTTCAGGATATTTTAGGTTTATATTCTCTTAAACTGTTGTTTTTTGTATGATATAATTACCTGAATTTTGAATTTA